TTTTTCAAGTGATTTCAATTCTGCCTGAATTGCTTCGTTCCATTTTGGCCAATCATGTCTACGTCGACATTCATCAACTGAAGTTGGCTCAATGTCATCATTTTCATCCATGATGTTTGTGGCAATGGCATATGCGAATATATCATCAACATGAACATCTTTTCTGTTCCATTGTAATCCCGTAGAAACGTAATTTATTGAAATCTCATAATTATCAACGTTTCTATCTTCATCTGAATTATTCGCATCTTCAGAGATGGTTAAATCCTCATTTGAAACAAATTGTTCGTTGATATTATTTTTTATATCAACATGCTCGGTTCGTTCATTTTCTTTCTTTGAAGAATGAACGTCTTTTGTTTCAAGTATTGTCTCTTGCCTTTTAAGTTTTCTTGGTTTTACATCTTTTGAACCAAGTGGTCTGCCACGCTTTTTGTGTATTGAAGACTCATTTGCAAGAGTTTTTTCATTTTTCTCTGAAGGAATTTCAATTCTGGCAGGAGCATTCATAGCAGAAATATGTGACTTTGTCACTTTCTTCGAATCCGTGAATGCGTCAGGCAATTGATTTGCAACATTTTGTAAATGAATTATCTTTTGCACTTCTTGTTCGCATGCATTTGTTCTTGCATTAAGAAAAGATAATCCTGTTGCATTCCATGTAATCTCTTTCATACATGAGTCCTTTTTCTCATTTTCTCCCCCTAAGGCTGGGAATACTGTCTCATCGAAATGACAGTCAGCAAACCGAGCTGTGAATAAATCACCAGTCATTGGCTCAAGATATTTTATAATTGAGGGAGAATCAAAGCCAACATAAATTCCAAGCCTTCTTTGAGGACCCATTTTTGTACGATGTGGTGGAGCAATTGGTACATATACGGCACATCCAAATATTTTTATGTGAGAAATATTTGGTTCTTTTCTAGTAACCAATTGCAATGGGGAAAAAATATGATTTGCAGTAGGCCTTAGCCGAATTAAATTTGCAGCATGCAATACAGCATGTCCCCAAACAGATGCAGGTAAACTGGCTTTCATCAATAATGGTCTAGCAATTAATTGTAATCGCTTTATTAAAGACTCAGCAAGACCATTTTGAGTGTGCACATGAGCAACTGGATGCTCCACATCAATCCCAATAGACATGCAATAGTCATTAAATGATTGAGATGTAAATTCTCCTGCATTATCAAGTCGGATTTTTTTAATTGAATAATCCGGAAATTGAGCTCTCAAACGTATGATTTGAGCAAGGAGTTTTGCAAATGCAAAATTTCTTGTAGATAAAAGACTAACATGTGACCAACGTGTTGATGCGTCGATCAACACCATAAAATAACGAAATGGTCCACATGCTGGGGCAATTGGCCCACAAATATCTCCTTGAATTCTTTCTAAAAATACAAGAGATTCAACTCCAATTTTATTTAGAGATGGCCTGACAATCATCTTTCCAAGAGAGCAGGCAACACATGGAAAATCAATTGATCTTGGAATCCTTATATTTTTCAATGGATGTCCAAGTGAATTTTGAATTATTTTGTGCATCATTACACTGCCAGGATGACCCAAACGGTCATGCCACAAAATGAATGTTTTCTGATCATCTAATTTTTTATTAGAGATAACATTCACTTCAACGGGACTAATGTGAGTATAATATAGCCCCGAGGAATACGCTGGCATCTTTTCACAAAGAATTTTATTGCCAGATTTGGTTGTCGTTAGACACAAGTATTCCTTTT